AGGTTCCCCCACCTGGGGCGAACATTGTCAGTGGCATGTGGATTTTCGGGGTGAAGCGACCGCCGGGTTCTCCGCCTGTCTTCAAGGCGCGTTACGTGGCTCGAGGCTTCAGTCAGCGGCAGGGAGTTGACTACTTTCAGACCTTCTCTCCCACCCCGAAGATGACCACTCTTCGGGTGCTGCTGCACATAGCCGCTCAGCGCGACTACGAGCTTCACTCTCTTGACTTCAGCACAGCTTTCCTGTAGGGCCGCCTGCACAAGGATATCTGGCTGCGCCGCCCACCTGGCTTCACTGGGTCGTTTCCTCCTGGTACCCAGTGGAGCCTCCGGCGGCCAGTCTACGGTCTCCGCCAGGCGCCCCGTGAGTGGCACGACACACTGAGGACTACACTTGCGGCTCTTGGCTTTGCTCCTTCTACAGCCGACCCGTCGTTGTTTCCGCGCATCGACAGCTCTTTGCCGCCGTTCTACATCCTCGTGTACGTCGAAGACTTGGTCTTTGCCACAGCTGACACTGCTGGACTCGCCCACGTGAAGTCCGAGCTGCAGAAGAGACACACGTGCACAGACCTGGGTGAACTGCGCAGCTACCTTGGCTTGCAGATCACCCGGGACAGAGCACAGCGCACCATTACCGTGACTCGGTCACACATGGTGCAGCAGGTCCTTCAGCGCTTCGACTTCACGTACTCCTCGCCTCAGGCCACTCCTCTGTCTACTCGCCACTCGCTCTCAGCTCTGCCTTCAGATGAGTCCGTAGAGCCGAGTGGCCCGTACCCAGAGCTTGTTGGCTGCCTCATGTACCTGAAGACCTGCACACGACAAGACCTAGCATACCCTCTTAGCATCTTGGCGCGCTATGTTGCTCGTGGGAGACACCGACCATAGCACATGGCTGCAGCGAAGAGGGTGTTGCGCTACTTGTGCAGTACCATGGGGCTAGGCTTGGAGGGCGACGTCCAGTGGTCCTCACAGGTCACGCAGACGCTTCTTGGGCTGACGACCAGGCTACGCAGCGCTCGTCACAGGGTTACACCTTCAGCCTTGGCTCCGGCTCTGTTTCGTGGCGGTCTACCCGCTCGTCTTCTGTTCTCGGCTCCAGCTGTGAGGCTGAGATCTACGCGGGGGCCATGGCTGCACAGGAGCTACGCTGGCTCACCTACCTGCTGACTGACCTAGGAGAGCCGCCTCGTTCTCCTCCTGTTCTGTACGTAGACAACAAGGCCATGCTGGCCTTGTGTCGGGAGCACAGACTGGAGCACAGAACGAAGCACATTGCTCTTCGCTACTTCCTTGCTCGTGAGCTGCAGCAGCGTGGTCAGCTGAGCCTTGCTTACGTGGCCTCTGAGGCCAACGCTGCTGATATCTTTACCAAGGCACTTCCGCCTTGTGATCATCAGCGCTTTTGTACGATGCTAGGTCTTGTGCCTACTTGGCCTCACTTGGTCACTTCTTGACCTTGCTTGTACTGTGATTTTTCTATACCTGCACTTGCTTGTTTACCTTTATATATGATCTTGCATGTGAACTGGCCTTATGGCCTTTGAACTTGTGCTCGGAATGTGTGGTGACGTTGTGATCCACCCTGAGCTTGCTTTGCTTTGCTTGACTGGTCTTGTGACCTCTTGTTCTCCCCCACTTTGCCTATGGGGGTGTGTCAAACTCATATGCTATAGTCTGTGTAGGCTGTAGTGGGGTAGACAATATGGGGTACAACACTTTTAGGTTTTCCTACTTGTACCCACCTGCTTGCTAGTTCATTCATTCCTCATCTCTTCACAATGTATACAATACGTTATTATTGTATCAATATGAACGTTAATGAAAAGCATACAAATGGGTGATAACAAAAAATACGAAATAAGAGTACACATCTGAATTCCATTTGACTTCAAATTGTAGAACAAATATATGAGCAATATTAAGTATAATGTCATGACACGACGTGCACACAAACCTGGCGACGTGTGGGCGGATCAGACGAGAACAAAGCATCCAGCCGCGTAGGAGTGAAGACACTCAAAGGAATGCTGTCCGCCTCAGCCGTCATGCGAGCATGCGATGCACGGTTCTCCCAATTGAGCACGCCATCCAATATGCCAGAAGAGTACGTGACAAGAAATGTTGAGATGACATGCGATATGATCAAGAGGAGACAAATTAAAAGAGCATGTGATAATAGTTCGAATATCTCATTATAAGTTCATATTGTTGTTCATAGCTCGAAATTCATGCTGTTAAAAACTCCATGTTAAAAAAAAAGCACCGTTTTGCAAGCATCTTCGTAACAAAGGAAACTGTGCATTAGCATTGGCGGACGTGCGCGTCCCGTTAAGCTCATAATCAGTTGTGCACTCAAACGGGTATCGCGGGCATTTGCGATTGGTGGATAGGGGGTCCTTTGCGCTAGTTGCACAAACCCTCAGTGTTTGCACAAAGTTCAAATGACGCTTGATTCGGCCAACATGTTCGTTTCATCCGCCGCTTTTGCATGACACAAACAGTAGTAACAGTGGCCATAACACAAGCTGAAATACGTCCTCAATATCAGAAACCTGCAGACTATATTGTAGCGAAGCAGCCTCGTGTTGCTGATAAGCGTATGTAACAGTTACATTGATTTTACAGCAAGTTACACTTCATGGTCAGCCTCATATTGGTACTGACCGCTTAAGTCATATCCTGACACTACCTAACGAGTTTGTACAACATAGTTGAACCAAATTGAATGGGGAGACGTAAAAAAAGAAAAAGTTTCCAAATATAACCAGATTTTCAGAATGAACCATGATTACTATAAGAAAGGCAAAAAAACTCATGTTCTTAGGAAACAATATGATCAAGTTTTAGAGGCTCACCCTGGTTTCTTGGAGTTAACACAGTGGACGGAGCAGATATCGTATGTGGCTCCCAGAACGAACTCCCCAAGTGTCTTGCAGCACTTATCAATCGTCCACGCCATCAATGGCGGCTGCGACTCAGGCCAAAACAACATCTCTATCATATTCCCTTCATGCTACCAACGTCTCTCGAGGGGATTGGCCTCACGGACCCCACGGTAGAAGGAGTTTCAGGTTTCCTCTCCAGCTTCACACATGCGTCACTACTACTTAGCTCACTGCAGCTCGACCACGAGAATGTTTTGACCGCTGTAAAGGACGACATGCTCCTGCCACGGGTCACAACTACAGCCTTACATTCGTGGCTATCGGAGTGTGAAGCATCACTGCCTCAAGAAGCGCGGGAAATACTAGAGAAGAAGAGGATAGAACGAGAGGGGATTAGGCTGCAGCATGCCCTCTCAGTGCAAGTCCAGGGGGGAAGATACGCGAAGCAGGTCCAGGCGTCACAGCAGATGGCACCGAACCCGTTGTGTGGATACACCCAACGCCTCCTCTCACTGACCGGCTATGCAGCAGGGGATTGGCTGCTGGCTATCCCAATCGAGTCAACACGGCGGATTGGACCCGAGCACTTTGCAAATGCAGTTCGCTTTCGGTTGGGCCTACCTTTCGCAACACCGGCAAAGTGTGACTGCCCAAAACACGTCGAGATCACAGACCCGCGGCTGCCTAACCACATGTTCCGCTGCGGCACCGGAAAACACAAGATCAACACGCATAACGAGCTTCGGGATGCCTGCGTCAGCATGGCGCAGGATGCGGGCTTCATTGTCCGCGGCCTACTGCCCAATAGACGAACAGACGGCGGACTTAACAATGATGGACCGGAGCTCCGGGGCTGTCTATATTTGTGATGTAACAGTCACAGACCCGATTAGTACCCGGGATAAGACGGCTGCCAAGGGAAGGGGATGGGCAGCACGGGAGCAGGCGGATAAGAAGATTAAACACTATGAAAGCCGGCCTGACACGGTGGGCTTTTTCCCCCTTGCTGTTGAGACCTACGGGTGCCCGTGTGCGGAGGTGCCCGTGTTCCAAAAACTGCTGGCGGACTCTGCTGCTAGGCGTCACTTCAACGCCGAACCTAACTCATTTCATGCAGCCAGGTTCCTCCATCTTTTCAGGCAGAGGTGGTCCGTGGCGCTGCAGAGGGCCCAGTCAGTGGGGTTCCTCATGAAGACGTGTCAAGCCGCTATGGCAGAGCACCCACCTGTTGGGGGGATGCAGCATGAGCTCCACCTGGGTGATTGCCTCACCATGATTGAACCTCTGGTGGAGGTTTAGGGAAAGATGACAAGAGTGTTGTTTAGGATGTGTGGTAGTATGTTAGTATGCCCATAGGCTTGTCTAATCTCTGTCATTTTACTTGCATGCTTGTACCTTGCTGCTATATCAATACACGGACCATTAGAGAGAGAGAGAGAGAGAGAGAGAGAGAGAGAGAGAGAGAGAGAGAGAGAGAGAAAGAGAGAGAGAGAGAGAGCAAAAGAGAGAGAGAGAGAGAGAGAGAGAGAGAGAGAGAGAGAGGAGCACTAGGCCCGGTCCTTAGTCTCTCCTAGCTCTCTAGCCTAGTCTAGCCTTAGTATAGTATGGCTATCAGGTTCTATAAGCCTTAGTCCTTAGTGTAGTCCCTCCAGTGTGCCTATAAGCAGTACAAGCTCCTATATAGCCTCCCTTGTTCCTTCATCCCACTCATTATTCTCTGGTGAGTGTGAATCCTCCCAACCCTGCGGCTCGCGCCGGCCGCCTTTGGCGGCCGACGCTCGACAACGCGGCCTTCAGCCGCGCGTTAGGGGAGGCAAGGACAAGAGGGGAAAGAAGCAGTTACACGGGGAGCAGTACAGGCATGCACCCATAACACCGAAGGTGCTAGACTAAGGTAAGTCCCCCTCAATGGGGAAGAAGAAGCTGGGGACCAAGGAGGCGGCAGGGGCCACGTCTACATCCGCTCCACCCTCCGCCCGAGCCACCGGAGCACACACGCGAGGGCAGGGACGATACCAAGCGGGGACTCCTCAGCAGCCGTGGCTACCATGCAGAAAGCCGCAGCGCCTGGACCGTCGTCCAACAAAGGGTCCTCCGGCTCAAGCGGCAGATGAAGTACATCTCACAGCGCGTTCGACACTGCACGGCGCACCCGCCCCTGCTGGTCCTCGTTCAGCTGCGGATCCCGGGCCACAACCTCCCGCGTCTGAAGGGCATCATGCAGGAGGTCGAGCACGAAAGACAGCTCCGTCACGCAGCGGCCAACCTCCAACAACCACATCCCGCAGGACTGGTAAGCCCCATCTCCAGGCCGGGGCTCCCCCCAAGGAGGGCTCGGGGGAGGAGTGCTCCAGTTCCCCTCGCGCGACGCGTTCGGCCACGACACTGCCCACCAATCCACATCAGGATCACGACGAGTGTCGGGCACCTCGTCTTCGTTCCAGTAGCCGCGGGAAAGACCAGGCACCGGCTAATGCTGCGGGACAAGGGGCGGTGCGGATGGCAGGGAGGCAAAGAATCAGCAAGACACGGCAGTTGGGCGACGAGCAAGGGAACACATCCCGGGCCAAGCAACGCGGAGACGACAATGCGGGGGACTCATCAATCCAAACTGGGCCGCGAGGAGCCGAGAACCAGGCACAAGGGGATGCTGGCGAAGAGGCACACCAGGAGGCAGAACAGGAGGAGGGAGTTCGCGGGGAGCAGGCGGAGCCGATGGAGTCACATCTAAGCGAGGCGGGTATGAATACGCGAACGGAGCAACGAGAGCTGCCACCGACGAGGGCGGTGCGTGATGGGGAGGAGGAGGTGGTTGTGGCATCGGCGGTGACGCGCCCTGCTCAGGTGCAGGGGACGAAGCAGGGGCCTGACCAACAACAGGCGGGGCAGGAGGCGGCTGAGACGGCGAAGGCGCGGGGACATAGGGCCACAGCCGCGGCGACGGAACCAACCCCGGGGCCGACGGCGGCGGACGCAAGTGAGGAGCCTGAGGCGCAGACTGCGCCGCAACCGCCGATGGAGCCAACCGGGAGGACGCGGATTCGTCCGACGTCGGAGGAAGCTGCAACGGCTGGGACAGCGTGGCCGGAGCATGGAGCTAAGGCTGAGGTCGTGCCTGGCCAGAGTGCGGCGGGCGAGGGGGATGGCGGTGGCAAAAAGACTGGCCGCGCGCACGGAGAAACGGATGAGTGCGCCCGCCATGGGAGCGGTACACAGGCTCCCTCGGCCGTGCGGGCGTGCTTGGCAATGCAGAAGGCGCGGTGCCAACACCCGCGGTCAAGCAGTCCGCGACGGCTCGGAACAGGGCTGGCACCTGCCTGCCCTGGGCTGCTGGTGGGGTGGGCACAGCAAGAGGTCCCGCCGCCACAATCACATCACGTCGAGGCGGCCGGCGCCGGCCCGTCATCAGGTGCGGTGGACGAGGCAGGACGGCCGCACGTGAGAGCTGAACGGGTGGAGGCCGAGGCGGAAGATGCAGCGGCAGCCGTAGAGGAGGAACAAGTGACCACGATCGACAAGCGCCGTGGGGGAACACCGCGGCAGAGGCTGCTGCGAGAACGCGCGGCGGAGGTGGCGGCTGGAAACGCGCCGGCAGGGACACGGGGACAAGCGCCGGGGCGCCGAGGGGACGCGGCAAAAGAGGCGCGCGCGGAAGAGCAGGGCGAGGAGGCCTCGCGGCAGCCGTGGCTAGGGAAAAGGCCAGATCTGGGACTTGGCGGGAAAGGCACGGGAGGCCGGAAAGACAGCAGAGGGAGATCCAATGAATGATTGCGATGATGATGGGGATGAGGAATATATGGAGGAGGAACAGGGGGATTCGGAGGACGTGTCACTGGAGGATGAACAAGGGAAACCATGCTGACGCCAACGAGGGTGAGTCACGTGGCGTCCAACCCATGGAGGCGGCCAGCAAGGCGAGATCTCCAGCAGACATTGCGGATGACTCGGCAGCCTGGCGCCAGGTGGAAGGGTGGGATTTGGGGCCACTGTGCTGCAGCGCCCAACCCTTTCTTTACCGGAAGCTTCCACCCAAGATCCTGGGTGTCTATGCCTACTGTATGACGATCCCCTTGCTGCGACTTTCGAAGGTTCCTGGCTGCGCGGGGGCATGGCAAATCCTGCAATTCCTACCTAGGTTAACCCTAAGAGCCGAAATCGAGAAGGTTCCCGGAAATCGCTGGGCCGTGGTCGAGAAGCGACTTCAGCTATTTCAAGAAGAATGGGAGGTGCTGTTCTCGGAAGCCAGCACCATTCCCCCAAACCCCCAACCAAGCAGACACCAACCAAACCCTGAAGGCATGTGTGCCAGGGCGGAGGGCCTAGTACAGAAGGCGAACATGGTGAAGGCTTTAGCAACGTTACAGTCCACTCCGCTCACTGAGCAATCACCAGAGACATTCGTTACACTTCGCCCTAAGCATCCGATGGTGGGGAGGCAACACCAGGCTGGGTTACCGGATATGAATCGTCGTCGCTGACAGTCGCAGCCGACGAATTTCGCGAAGTCCGAGCTAAGTGCCCGAATGGGATTGAGTCTGGGCCATCTGGCACGTGCTTTGAACACCTACGTGACCCCGCACTGCTGAACGGGGAGGTCTTTACGCTCCTGCACCAAGTAATCAACTCCCTAATGAGCACTTACCTTAGCGCGCCCATAAGAGAGCTTCTGCTACCGTCGAGGCTGATAGCGCTAGAGAAGCCTGGAGGGGGGGTCAGACCGATAGCAATTGGTGAGGCGATTATTAGGCAAGCGGCGAAAACGGCGCTGCGGAAACTCTCGCCCGATATCCAACAGTTCTTCCTCCCGGTACCGTTTGGCGTGGCGGTGCCCGGAGGAGCAGAGACGATCATACATGCTACCAGAGCCCTGCTGGCGGACGACCCAAGTCGAATCGCAATCCAGCTAGATGTCGAAAATGCATTCAACTCCGTGGAGCGGGGGAGTTTCTTCACGGCACTCAAGTGACCAGCGCTCGAGCAACTTCTGCCGCTAGTACGCACCCTGTACTTCTCACGGGCGCGCCTCCTACTAGATCCGGGCTTCGACGAACGGTACATCAAGAGCGCTCATGGTGTGCGCCAGGGAGACCCACTGGGGCCGATGTCAAACTCTTTTCGTTAGCGGGCCCCGCGGCCCTTTCGATAGTGGGCCCCGTGGCCCTTTCGATACCGGGCCTCGTAGTCCCGTCGTCAGTCGCACGTACGCACAGCAGCAGCCGCGCGCACGTGCAGCTCGCCGCCTTAACCGCTGCCCCACCCTCAAACGGCTGCCTTACCCGCCGCCCCATCTCTTAGCCGCCCCCCCACGAGTTGAAGCCCGCCGCCCCACCTGACACCCGCTGCCCCAGGACCTGCCTCACCCGTCGCCCCACCAGTTACCCTCAGCCCCACCAACTAGCCACACCTGGAAACCATAGTCTACCACCCGTACCCGCTGAACCGCACAGAACCGCACAGAACCGCACAAAACCGCACAGAATCGTACTCCACCCGTGCTAGCTCCCCTGGAACTGCACAGAACCGCATTCCACCCGTGGTAACCCCCCCTGGAACCGCACAGAACCGCACTCCACCGCCCTAGACTGTTCTTCACCACTCCCAACCGCACTGAACTGCCCTCCATCGCTCCCAACCGTAGCGGACCACACTGAACCTCTCCCACAAGCACCAGAACCGCACTCAGCCACATTCCACCGCACCAGGCCGCTCCCAACCGTATCCTAACCGTCCTACACTGTTCCCAACCGCTCTCAACCCCACCCAACCGTCCACCACCGCACTAGACTGCCATCAGGTGCACCATCAGCAGTATACGCCGCCCCCCGGTGCACCAGCAGCAGCTTAGGCTGCCACCAGTAGAACCAACAGCAACTTAGGCTACCGCCAGCGTACCTCCCCTGTGAAGAAATGAGGAATGAATGAACTAGCAAGCAGGTGGGTACAAGTAGGAAAACCTAAAAGTGTTGTACCCCATATTGTCTACCCCACTACAGCCTACACAGACTATAGCATATGAGTTTGACACACCCCCATAGGCAAAGTGGGGGAGAACAAGAGGTCACAAGACCAGTCAAGCAAAGCAAAGCAAGCTCAGGGTGGATCACAACGTCACCACACATTCCGAGCACAAGTTCAAAGGCCATAAGGCCAGTTCACATGCAAGATCATATATAAAGGTAAACAAGCAAGTGCAGGTATAGAAAAATCACAGTACAAGCAAGGTCAAGAAGTGACCAAGTGAGGCCAAGTAGGCACAAGACCTAGCATCGTACAGAAGCGCTGATGATCACAAGGCGGAAGTGCCTTGGTAAAGATATCAGCAGCGTTGGCCTCAGAGGCCACGTAAGCAAGGCTCAGCTGACCACGCTGCTGCAGCTCACGAGCAAAGAAGTAGCGAAGAGCAATGTGCTTCGTTCTGTGCTCCAGTCTGTGCTCCCGACACAAGGCCAGCATGGCCTTGTTGTCTACGTACAGAACTGGAGGAGAACGAGGCGGCTCTCCTAGATCAGTCAGCAGGTAGGTGAGCCAGCGTAGCTCCTGTGCAGCCATGGCCCCCGCGTAGATCTCAGCCTCACAGCTGGAGCCGAGAACAGAAGACGAGCGGGTAGACCGCCACGAAATAGAGCCGGAGCCAAGGCTGAAGGTGTAACCCTGTGACGAGCGCTGCGTAGCCTGGTCGTCAGCCCAAGAAGCGTCTGCGTGACCTGTGAGGACCACTGGACGTCGCCCTCCAAGCACTAGCCCCATGGTACTGCACAAGTAGCGCAACACCCTCTTCGCTGCAGCCATGTGCTCTGGTCGGTGTCTCCCAGGAGCAACATAGCGTGCCAAGATGCTAAGAGGGTATGCAAGGTCAGGTCGTGTGCAGGTCATCAGGTACATGAGGCAGCCAACAAGCTCTGGGTACGGGCCACTCGGCTCTACGGACTCATCCTAAGGCAGAGCTGAGAGCGAGTGGCGAGTAGACAGAGGAGTGGCCTGAGGCGAAGAGTACGTGAAGTCGAAGCGCTGAAGGACCTGCTGCACCATGTGTGACTGAGTCAGGGTAATGGTGTGCTGTGCTCTGTCCGGGGTGATCTGCAAGCCAAGGTAGCTGCGTAGTTCACCCAGGTCTGTGCACGTGTGTCTCTTCTGCAGCTCGGACTTCACGTGGGCAAGTCCAGCAGTGTCAGCAGTGGCAAAGACCAAGTCGTCGACGTACACGAGGATGTAGAACGGCGGCAAAGAGGTGTCGGTGCGCAGAAACAGCGACGGGTCGGCAGTAGAAGGAGCAAACCCAAGAGCCGCAAGTGTAGTCCTCACTGTGTCGTGCCACTCACGGGGCGCCTGGTGGAGACCGTAGACTGGCCGCCGGAGGCTCCACTGGGTACCAGGAGGAAACGACCCAGTGAAGCCAGGTGGGCGGCGCAGCCAGATCTCCTCGTGCAGGCTGCCTTGCAAGAAAGCTGTGCTGAAGTTAAGAGAGTGAAGCTCGTAGTCGCGCTGAGCGGCTATGTGCAGCAGCACCCAAAGAGTGGTCATCTTCGGGGTGGGAGAGAAGGTCTGAAAGTAGTAAACTCCCTGCCGCTGACTGAAGCCTCGAGCCACGTAACGCGCCTTGAAGACAGGCGGAGAACCCGGCGGCCGCTTCACCCTGAAAATCCATATGCCACTGATGATGTTCGCCCCAGGTGGGGGAACCTCGTTAACGTAGGTGCCTGTGGACTTCCAGGAACCCATCTCTGCGTCCATGGCTGACTGCCACTGTGAGGAGTAGGGACCCTCGATCGCCTCAGCGTACAATCGAGGAGTCGGGATGTCTGGTGCATCCGAGTCTCCCAGAGGGGCAACCAGCGTGGACACGAGATGAGGCAAAGCAGCAGAAAAACACTGGAACTCCTCCTGCCTGTCCTCAAGGACGTCCGTGCTAAGAGCACACTCACCCCCGACGGACGGAGGACAGACAGACTCAGACTCAGCAACGAGACTAGCGGCGTAGTCTAGACGACAGCGGGCAGCAAAGTCGACAAGCTCAGCAACTAAGGCAGACGCAGCAGTGGACTCAAAGGAAGGGTCAGTGACAACAGTGGCCAGGAGACGCGTGACAGTAGGACTGGCAGCACAAAGAGAGTCAGACTCCGGGTCAGCAAGAACAGGAAGAGAGGACTCTGGAGGAGACGGCAACGGGACACGCAGAGGAGCAGTGGAAGGACGCAGTGCCATCTGGTGTGTGCCTAGGACCGCAGGAGGACGCGGACGCGGAGCACAGCCACTAGTGCGAGCAGCACGAACAGGCGACGTAGGACGAGACGCAGGCTCACGACGCTCAGCAAGACCTCCAGTAGGACCAGTGTAGGGAGAAGGAGCAGGTAGGGGGGAGGCGGGCTGCAACTGTGACCGCGACTGGACAGGCTGTGGACACTCTAAGGGAGGAGCAGGACCGGTAGAGGGCGGGAGACCAAGAACCTGCTCAAGGAGCGGAACGAAGTACGGCCTCGGCCGCGCAGCGCCTCCAGAACCAGCAGGGACAGCACCAGTACCCCTAGCGGCAGCACAAGCGCCAGCAGCACCTCCAGCTCCAACAGCGCCAACTCCAGCACCCTCAGAAGCACGAGCGCCATCAGAACCACCAGCGCCAACACCCCCAGCAGCTCCAGCTCCAGCAACTCCAGCAGCACCAACTCCAGCAGGACCGTCAGCTCCAGTATCTCCAGCAGGACTAACTCCAGCAGCCCCAGTAGCACCCCTAGTCCCAGTAGCTCCAGTACTGCCAGTACGAGCGCCTCCAG